CCCCAGAAGCTCCTTCATGTGCCGTCTCAATCTCAACCCCTCCCCTCCTTCCACAAAGTAACCATATTCTTATTGTTATAGTTATCACTTTTAAGTTTTTCTATATAGTTTTACTACCCAGCTCTGCATTCTTAAACACCGTAGTTTAGTCTATTATTAAAAATTTGATATGCCTTTCAAGTCTCAATATGCAGATTTTTCCTCTGTCTCTTTTTTTCACATAAATTTTATCTCTTGAAGGACCTTTAACAGTTTCCATCTGTTTGGATTGTGCTAGTTGCGTACCTCATGGTGCAGTTTATCCTGTTTCTCTGGTTTTGTACTTCCTCTGAACTGACAATTGGATGCAGAAATTTGAACAGATGCATGTTTAATCCCTATAGGTGGTGTTAAGTTCTTTCATCATGAGGCACCTAATGTCTGATTGGCTCTTTTTGTGATGTTAGCAGCTATTGAGATGCGATGCCTAGAACCTTTAATTTCTGGGGGAATTATAAAATGGTGACAATCTGATTCCATCATTTCTTTTTCATTTATTACTTGAAATATTTTTATAATGAAATGTTTGGTTCATCCATTACTTGAATATCCAACAGTACAGTTCATATAGGAAAAGCAGGATAAATACTTGATTCTTACCCTATATTTAACAGCTTTATTGAGATAAAATTCACTTACCGTATGTTTTACCTATTTAATGTATACAGTTCAATTCACGTATGACTCAAGTGACTTTTAGTATATTCCCAGAGTTGTGCATTCATCACCACAATCAAATTTGAAGATAATGAAAACTGATATAGTTCCATGCTTGGGGGGAATAAAAATAGGTGAGAAGGTAGGAAGTGAAAATTCTGAGGACTGGTAGCAGTCTTTAAATAGTGCAATGTTTCAGAGAGGATACTAGATTTTTCCAAGTACTCCACATTCCTAACCATTTGTCATCGAGTTGATTCCAACTCATGGTGACCCCATGTGAGTCAAAGTAGAACTGTGTTCCATAGCATTTTCAGTGGCTGATAATTTCAGAAGTAGATTGCTAGGTGCCACGCAACGGGTTTCTCTTTACATGTGGCCTCTCTGGCCCTGGGCAGGTAGTTCTGCCAAGATGATTTGCTAGGCCATATTCTTGTAGGGATTGGACAGTTTACTATGCAAATATGGTATATAAAATCCTTGCAGGGATTGGTCAGTTACTGTGCAAACTAGTTGACTCTGGCCTACTGAGAGGATTGGTCAGTTTTGCCATCCTGCTACACATATAAGGGCTAATCCCACAGAGGTTGAGGGGGACCTCACTACCATTAAGAAGAACTGGGAGCGGAGTGTATCCTTTGGACCCAGGGTCCCTGTGCTGAGAGCTTCCTAGACCCAGAAGAGAGAGCTATAACACTGTAGATGGCGTGAGATGGCACGAGATCGGCAAACAGCTACAGTGGGCTTGCCAACCCTTGGAGCGAGACAGAGCTGAGTGCCTTCAGGCAGGAGGCTTACTGGTGGAGTGGCGGACCCGTGGACACTTGGTGGAGCTAAAGAGCTGTAACACTTTCCTGAGCAGGGCAGAGGCCAAGAGGAGGCTAGTCAGCCAAGAAGCATGGCCTGCCGGTGGGCACAGCCAAGAAGGAGCTGAGAGCTGTCTTGGTTGGAAGCTATCCTGATTGACAAACCGTATTCTGTATCCTGTTACCTCCAGGTTGATCCTGATCCTGAGTTGTACCCTGTTATTTCCCTAATAAATGACATAATCATGACTATGGTCTGTGAGTTTGTGTGGCTATGGCAATGAATTCTTGAACCCAGCAGAGAGGTAGAGAGTGCCGTGGGGAGGGCAGTTGATGTCCGAATTGGTTAAAAGTGTTGGAGAGTGGAGATACATCTGACCACCACCTCATAGGAATCAGCTCTGGGGTGATGGTGATTCTCACCCCTCCCCCTGAAATTAGACAAGGTCTGATGCCACTAGACTCCACTAGGCCTTTCTTTCAAGGTGCTTCTGGGTGGACTCGAACCTCCAACCTTTCAGTTAACGATTTAACTGTTGGCACTATCCAGGGAGTCCTCTATATTCCTAGGTAGGTGTTTTGTATTACTCTAGCTCAGTGATTGGGATTTTGAATGCCTAATACGAGTACCTATTTGAATTAATGATGTGGTTCATTTTATGTAGACTTAGACATCTGTTCAGATTGTTAACAAAAACAAATGGTTTTCTGAAATAATTTCATAATTTAAATGTCAAAGTTAATCACTATATAAGAAATGGATTTATACCTTCTGAAAATGAAACCTAATTCTGCTTTTAAATTAACAAATGTGTAATAAAGTTATACATGGTTAAGATGCATGTTACCAGTATTCACTGTGCTGTGATTAGGCTATGGTTTCTGAACTGTATAGCTTAATAGCTAATATTATAATGTCCATTTCTGAATGACTAGCATTTTCTTTTGTTGGTGTGTTGGGAGTGGAATTGCTAGGGCATATAGTAACTCTAAGGAACCCTGGTGGTACAGTGGGTAGGCACCCAGCTGCTAAACAGAAGGCTAGCAGTTCAAACCTACCAGCTGCTCCATGGGAGAAAGATGTGGCATTCTGCTTCCACAAAGATTACAGCCTTGGAAACCCTCTGGGGCAGTTCTACTCTGTCCTGTAAGGTCACTGTGAGTCGGACGACTCAACAGCAACAGGTTTGATGTTTTTGATTTTATGGTAACTCTAGGCACTGGTAATCTTGGATAGCTTTTTAAAAACTGCCAAGTTGTTTTCCGAAGTAATCATGCCATTTTACATTCCCACCAGAATGTATGTGGATTCCAGTTTCTCCACATCTTCCCTAACACTTATTATTGTGTCTTCTTGTATTATAGCCATCCTAGTGGGTGTGAAGTGGTATCTCCTTGTGGTTTTGATTTGCATTTGCCTCATGATATTGAGCATCTTTTCATGTATTTATTGGCCATTTGTATATCTTCTTTGGAGAAATGTCTGAATAGATATTGTTCTCATTTTTAATTGTTATTTTGTCGTTTATTATTGAGTTGTGAGGGTTATTTTTAATATTCTGGATGCCAGTTACTTATCAGATATACAGTTTGCAAATATGTTCTCCCATTCTTTAAGTTGTCATTTCACCTTCTTGATAGTGTCCTTTAAAGCATAAACGTCCAGTTTATTAAAAATTTTTGTCATTCATGCTTTTGATGTCATAGCTAACAAACCATCACCTAATCCAAAGTCGTGAGGGTTTATTCCTGTTTTTAATTTTTGTACATAAAGTCTAAAAAAAGGGTACAGCTTTATTTTTTTATTTTTTATTTTTGTATGCAAAATTGTCTTGGCAGTCTTGTTGAACATCAGTTGAACATAGTGAATATCAGGGTTTTTTCCTCAACTCTATTGTATGATCTACATATTCTTCCTTATACTGGTACCACAGTCTTGGTTACAGCTTGTAGTAAGTTTTGAAATTAGGGAAGTATAAGTCCACCAACTTTGTTCTTCCTTTTCAGGATTGTTTTGGCTTTTCTGGTCCCTTGGATTATGTGAATATTAGGAAGCTGGGATTTTGATGGTGATTGCATTGAATCTGTAAGTCAGTTTGAGGAGTCCTGCCATCTTCACAATATTAAGTCTGTTGTGTAACATTAGTTCTTATTTGTTTAGTGGCCTGAAAGAAAGTATCCTTTTGTAAGATTTATGTAGAGTATTTGAATACCTATGCAATGTTATTGTTCTTCCTTTTCAATACTATATGAGGGTAATATTTTTGATGGAGTTTTTATTGTGAGCTGGTAGGAGCTGAGTCTACATAAAGGAGACTAGAAGACTGCCTATGAAATTCTCAGTGCACTTTATAAGTTGATTTTTTTTTTAAATTTTAGAAGCATATTCATAATGCAGAAGTACTCCCCAATAAATAAATTTAGAATGCCAAATTAAGCATGTTCAGTATACATTGTCTAATATAATTACTGTGGAAATCAAACCTTATTTTCTTAAGCAGTACTGCTTTCAGTAATACTGAATACTAGTATTTTTGAGCCTTTATTAAGCCAGCTTTCTTTTAAATGTAATTAGATGACCCAGAAACATCTAGCCTGTAGAAGGTTTCTAAAATTCTCAACATAAATTTTCTTATGTGACAGTATTATATTCACACATATTTAGATGGGTGAGAAAATAATAAAGTGGCAGGCTTAGTGTATGATATTTTCTGTAATGCCAGTGTTTTCCATGCAGCAAAGTTAAGGATTTTTAAGCTACTTTTTCACATAGTACTAGAATTTTGGTTCTATAGACTCAAGCTCAGTTATCTTTCCTATCAACAAATGGGCATTTTGACCTATTCCACTTTCTTCTTTTGGTGGAGGGCTGTAGTTCCCTTGTCTTTCATTATATGTAAGTTTCTACTTTTTCTGTAAGCTTAGGGGCTTCTTTCTGTGATCGTTTGCTAAGGTTATACCACTACCACTTCTCCTAAACTATAGTCTTAGGCAAGTGATTTCCAAATTTTGAGCTGTGATACCTAGAACCAGATGGGTATTTATTAATGAAGCCCTTTTAAAGCACAGGAAATAGTTACCTTAGTCTTAGTTGGGCAGTAGTGTGTGTTCGGGGCAGTTATGGATTAGGGGAGAAATGGCTTCACCAGCCTGTAGGACCTAAAGATGAAACATAAGAACAGATTAAAATGGGCTTCTTGGTGATCAGTATATTAGCAAATAGAAAGTAGGCTTGAAAGCCTTTTCCTTGCTTCCATTAGGACTTTTCTGGATTAGTAAAGTTGAAGAGTAATAATATAGTATGGCTAATTCTTAAATACAAATGTACACACAAAGTATATGCCCAAAATTAATTTATTAAAAGAGCAAAGGCCACAGCAAAAGGATGTAGTATACAGAATGACTCACTTGAAACTGACTGATACAGCCATCTTCAGTGACTTAGAAATTACTCAACTTTTTATTAATTCAAACAGACCTGCCTCTGGCTATCAAAGTTGAAGCCAGCAATGGAGAGTGAAGAATGTCAGCAGTGGGGTCATCATGACCAGAGAGGGGAGACAGCAGCCAGGAACGGGAGGAAGAGAAAAGGTGGAGAAGGAAGGGAATCAGACCAAGAGGTGGGAATGGAAACTTACAAAGGAACAGGAAAGGAGAAGAGGGTAAAAACAACTGGAGCGAGAAGGGGCAAGAGTAATACAAGTGTAAACCATTGAAGTAATATCAACAAGTATCATGATTCCAGTATTTGAATCTGCTCAGCTAGAACTGCAACACAACCTTTAGAGACTTGCATTTAACCATGGATAGAAGAATGTGAGCAATAAAGAAGGGAATTTTAAAGAAAATAAGCTTGTTAAGTCACTATTTAAGACCAACACTGACAATACAGAATTGATGTTTAATTTTTCAACATACAAATAGTAGTATTTGAGTTATATTGCTCAAATATTACTAGGCACTACTCTGAGTGTTTTACATGTACTAATTCATTTAATCCTCACCACAACTTTACAAGCAGTTACTGTTACTCTTATTTCACAGATGCAAAAACTGAGGCAAAAAGAATAATTTGCCTAGACTAGTCAGATATCAGAGCCAGGATTTCACTGAGGCAGTCTGATTTTACTCCAGTGTATGTATGGTGTATTTCTGTAGAAATTTGTCTTGTTTTGAGAATGTAAAAATCCCCTTGAAGTGGTTGTACAACTGCTAGTGCGACAGATCGTGGGCACTATTTAAAAGTTAACCCTTCTTTCCTTTAGCTATAGTTATTTTACAAAGTTAATTAAACTAGGTACCAGAACACAAAGATAGATAACACATGATGGTTGCCGCCAGTGAACCGAATCTCATTTTGTTCACTCAAACTGAACCAAGCATCTGTACTCCTTTTCCAACAATATTGGTGTGAATTCTTTGGCTTTGAACTAAGTTTATATATGTGCCATTGGATGTTTGTTGCCTTCAAAATACTGTGCTCACCTTTAAAAGCCATGGACCAACTGGTAATATTGCTATTACCCAAAACTTTTGGAAATTCTTTTCTTTTAATAGGCCACACAACCAAATCAGCTTTCCATTCAAAAAGCAGTTGTACCTAGTTTGATCACCTTCCTTAAAATTAAAGCCTCATACAGAGATTCACAAAGTATTTATCTAAAAAGGTGTTTTGTTTTGTTTTGTTTTTACAGCCCTGATGGAGTAAAATGTTTGCAGGCTGTAGAGGAGGAAATGTGAATGGAGTTAGTGGATTTCACCAGGAACTTTGGAAGAGTGTTGGGTATTAGTGTTGCACTGGAGGAGGATGAGAATTGAGCCCTGTTTAGAGGGAACAGAAAGACTTCTGTGAGGAGTGTGGGTAAATAAACCAGGAATCTACCCTGAAGTTCGCTGCTTAGCTCCCTGAATACTTAATTTTAAAATTATTTGTAGAATTTTAGAATCATTCAGTAGTACACGTACTTTGTTTCCATTGAGAAATGGAAAAGCTGTGTAGTTTGAAAGTATTTCTTGATATTGAGGCTCACATTTACCACCACCACTACTACTAAAAGTTTGAAGAGATGGAGCTGTGACTGGGAATCCTGTGAGGTTTTACTCAAAAAAAAGCTCATTGGAAACTTATATAAGTGCCTCTTAGGCAAGTAAGAGAAAGTTTGGACTACCTCGCAGTTAAGAAGGAAGTTGAACTATTAAATTTGGTCTAATTTGACTTTTGGCTTGAGTCTTTATTATTTTACTTTTTGATAAATTGTTCTGGCATTTGAAGGCTGTGAGAAAAGGTCATGGTTTAGCTAGTCATCCCCCTCTTGAATGAGATAATAAATGAGAGATTATGGGAAACTGAGAGTATCTTCATTTTATTGTTTCTCACATTTCTTACATTGGTAACTGGCTCTTAGATTTTTATTGTGACATTTGAAATACTTTGAAATTAATATTGGTACCTTTATGTTTACATATGGATTATCCACGTCTCATTCATTCAGCAAACACTAAGGGACAACTACACAGTGCTAAATAATGAGAACACAAATGAATAACTCATTCTCTGCTCAAGCTACTTCTAGACTGGAAGTGCAGGTAAAATTAATAAACTAACAATTAGAGTACAGTATAAAGTCCAATGATAGAAGTATATGTAAGTTCCTGTTGAGTAAAGAAGGGCATTTTACTGACTCAGGAACTTTACCTTGGGAGGAGGTAATCTTTGAGTTAAGCCTTTAAATAGAAAAGGAATTGATCAAACAGAAAGTAAATGGTAGTGACAGAGAGTTTTAAGTATGTGAAAAAATAACTGAGATGGGAAATAATTGTCTCTTCTCAGTTAACTTATATTTTCTACTTATCAATCTATCCCCCACCCTAGAGACAGCTATTCAACAGTATTTACCACTATTTCAAGGATGTTATGTAATATTGATGTTGCTTAATTAAATCTGTTGTAAGGAATAACAGCGGTTTATTCTAAATCTGTGAAAACTAAGTTGCTTTTATTGCACATTCTGAATTTTTTTTAAATCTTTTCCTTGTTGTAATTTTAATTTTAAAAAATGGAAATAAGTTGAAAGTCCAAGTTGAAATTATTCAGCCCTTTTAGGGTATGTTATTTCTGGTCGTTAGACAAACACACTTAATTTTAGATCTGTTTTAAATATTTATACAGCAGATAGAGACTTCTTGAAGTGATTTTTAGTCTATTTAATCATCTGCAAGTGCAGTTGGATTAGAGGAGGCCTCTTTCAGATAACAAAAGCCAGTGGTTAAATGTCATATCTCTGCAATGATACTTGTAAGTTGATTGTTTTAAAAACTCTTTGGAGGAAAGGTCCACCTTCCCTATACCAGAAATTTTCTCCATATATTACCTACCCAAATTGTATTTTGGCATCATTTATGCTTGCCTCCTCTCAACCCCCCATCTTTCTCTCTTTCTCTGTCTCTCTCTTAGCATTACTTCTGTGTAGTGACTGATGAACACCCAAGATATAGTGAGACACAGACATTCATCTCTTAAAATTTATATACCTGTATCTTGATATTTAGAAATTACTGTTCCATGAAAGAAATTTCTTATATGTAATCTTAGAATGTTAACTTGAGTTTAAAGTATGGCAGTTTTCCACGTCAGCAATTATTTGTTTTATTACTGACTTTTGGGGTGAATGTTTATTCTAAATTGATGTTTCTCTGTCGTAGTCAGTATCTTTTAGTGCTATGTTGTACTTTTATCCTAAGAACATAATCTTGATCTTCAATTGCCAGAATTTTTACTCTGGTGGTTTATCTTACTTGTTTTTACTCCCATTTTTTTACCTGCTGTAGTGAAGTAATAGAAATATTAGATAACATTTTCATGTTCAGAATCCTCTTACTTTGCTCTATAAATCCTTTTTCTGTCCCTGAAACCAAGATTGTGTAGCTCTTAGCCACAGAATGAATCATGGCTTAATTTGAAAGAGCCCTTGAAAGTGGTGACTCCGTGCCCAAAAGGGAATAGAGTGGGGTTACTTTACCCACTTTTCATCTTGTTTGTTGACCTGTGGCTTCATTAGTTTGCTTGAGTTCTTTTTTCCTTTTCCTCCTCAATGTGAAAATTAATGTTTAAACTTTCTCTTATTTAACTAGAGTCTTTTCCCTTTTCCCCTTTGACATTTTGCTTGTAAAACAAGTAAAATAGATTTTATAGAGGGTGGTTACTAGTTCTATTTAATGAATAGCTTGATTAAAATTCTTTTATCAATCTTGTCATAGCCCAGCTTGCAGTTCATACCATTAATATTACATTCCTTCCCTTGCATACCCCTCCCTTAGAAAGTAGAGGGTTTTTCCAAAATTCATTTGTTTTAAATCATCAAATTTTATCTTTTCTGCAGATAATATCACCCACTGCGTTATTTTTGGCTGCAAAAGTGGAAGAACAGGCTCGAAAACTTGAACATGTTATCAAAGTAGCACATGCTTGTCTTCATCCCCTAGAGCCACTGCTGGATACCAAATGTGATGTATGTAAAATTATGTTTTGGGTTTTTCTCTGAAATTTGAAACTTTTTCATAATTTGGGCCTAATAAAAATGTAAATTAATTACTGTTAACCATCCAAATGCTGCTTATTTTTATTAGTGCTATAGAAATGTAATACCAGGAAGCAGTCTGGCAGAAAAGTATTTTATGTATGTTCATGAATTTGAATGCCATTCTGAATCATACAGGGCTTTGATTCAAGGTACTTTAATTCAAAGGTACTTCTGAGTCTTTCTCATTTTGTTATTGATCCTCACAGCAAGCCTGTGATATATTTACAGGGTAAGTCATACCACCTTCATTGTTTAGGTGTATCTGAGACCAGAGGATAAATAACCATCTCAGATCAAATTGCCAGCAGATGAAGGAATAAAAAAACCTCTGAATTTACCTCTAGACTGGTAATTAGTCTTTTTAAAAGAGTCATTCCTTTATTAATACATACACACTTGTTTCTGATAAATGAAGATGCATTTTACCATACATGAATGAGCAGCATTTTATTTTGTTAGTATTTTAATTTTCCTAAAGGTAATGTTAGTTTCCAGACAACTTGTTTGTTAGCAGCATAGTAATAGGCTGTATTTGAAAGCACCTTTTAACATTTTTCTGACATTTCCTTAAAATGGAGGCTAGAATTCTGTACCTTTAAAATAAGTTTTTTAGCATAATTATTGTAAGTGAGTTACTTAGTCAGTACTAAGTCTGACTACCAGATTATATTCATTCAATTTGATTTGGGACAAATTCAAGGTCCAGATTAATTTAAGCTTTGACAGAAGTATATCTGATTTTATTACTGACATGTTTTATCCTAGATGTTGGCTTTAACAGAGTAAGATATTAATGTAACCATTGAATAAATATGGAATTTATGATTATTCAGAGACGATTCTCGTAGTTCCTGTTAACTTTACAAATTCAGAATTATTTCTAGTGAATACTTTAGGATATTGTTCAAATAATAAAAATCTATGCTTTAAATATCAGCATCAGTAAATTGAAACATGCTTTTAATCTCTGGTTTAGCACTGTGTCCTTAAATAAATGAATATTTGTGTATGATATATAATCTTCTTACCGCCTTAGTTAATTGTCATGATCTGAGAATGGGATGGCTGAATTTTTCTTGCCCTTTCTTCCCAGAGTAATTGCAGTAGGGGAACAATTTAAGGTTGAAATTAAGGGGAAAGGTCCTCTGGTATTTATGTTCCCATGGTTGTATGATACATTATTTTGGCATTTTATATTGGAGCCCTGGTGGCACAGTAGTTAAAGTGCCTGACTGCTAACTGCAAGGAGGCAGTTCAAACCCACCAGCCGCTCTGCTTTTCTAAAAATTAACCTACCTCTTTTCATATTATCTTTAGGTTTTTGTTTTTGCTTTGTTTATATTTCATATATATTAGAAAGTAATTCAATTTGAACTTGTCACGGAAAATAGGTTTTCTCTATCACTCCTGTTTTCAAACTACTGTGGTTCTTTTGAAATCTGTAATTCTCATGAGATTTAACAGTCCCATAGTTAGTATACTAATAGTGCTGTGTTTATCTGAAGCATTTTATTATTATTATTTTTACATGGCAGGCTTACCTTCAGCAGACCCAAGAACTGGTTATACTTGAAACCATAATGCTACAAACCCTAGGTATGTACTTATTTTTGTGTATATGTTCTTTGATGTAGTATTCTAAATAAATGAAAAGAATATTTCTGGAATGATATCATTATTGAAGAAAGTTGTTTGAAAACAAGTTTTTGGATTAGGATAGTATTGTCTGGTTATTAGAACTCTTTTTTTTTTTTTTTTTATTCAGGTGAAGGCTTACAGAACAAATAGTTTCTCATGAAACAGTAGTACACATATTGTTTTATGGCATTGGTTAACAA